TCCATCTTGTCTAATGAGCCATTTAAGACCAATTTTTCGTATTGACTTTTTTTCTTGCAGATCTTTCCATTGATGTCAATGGGAAGCTAAAGTTCCCTGCTCGGACTGTGTTAATTAATTAAAAAATGCCAATAACTACATACCTATCAATAATCACAATATAAATGAGTTAACTGATTCAACCAGAAAACACAGGGTAGCTGAATGGATATGAGAACGATACTCATAATTATGCTGTGTAAATGAGACCTATTTCAGATGAAAGTAAAGGGTTGGAAAAAAAGTTATTTCATCTCTACCTTTGGGCCCCAAAGACACTACTGTGCAGAGAATTTTGCTCTGGTGAGAGCTCTAATCTTGGACAGTGTACATACATCTCTGGGGACCCAGGACTCATACGGGGAGAAATTGTACTGTCTGGCAGCAGGCAGACCTCAGAACTTGAGGGTGGCTTTCCCTCAGAGATGCTTGCAGCAATTACTGGGACACTGAGATGAGGCCCCTTAGGGCAGGGCTGAGGATCAGCCATAGCTGCTTGCTCCACCTGTTGATTCCCCGAGACACCGCCCCACCCAGGCTGCGGCAGAGGCTTTTGCATATGAATGCCCTGGCCCTTTGCAATCTGAAAATTACCTAACAAATTGCAGCTGGGCCAGACAGACCCAGAACTTCCAAGAGAAGGCCCAAGGCCCCACAGCAGCTTGCATTGCTTCACAGCTGGGCCTCATCTGGGCACCTCCAAAAAGGAAGGGGAATCTGCAGATCACTTCGTTGCTCCTGCTGGGTAGCCTCCTGCACACCCCCTACTGGGAATATGCCCACAACCAAGGTACCTGCCCTTGACCAGAATAGAACCTGGGACCTTTCAGTCCGCAGGCTGATGCTCTATCCACTGAGCCAAACTGGTTAGGGCCCATCAGCATCTTTAAGTCGTTTGATATCCAAGGTAAATGCTGTACATTAAACTTAACAAAACAAGTTTATTGCACTACATTCTATTGTTCAGTGTTGTGGTTTTATACAATATTCGTTATTTTTAAATACATTTTTCTTATTTAAAAACATTTAACTAAATAATTGCAGTGTATTTTGGTTGTCCAGAATGGATTAATGGCATTTCAATTCATTGTAATGGTGAAAATTGATTTGATATATGAGTAATTTGAGTTCCGAGCTCCGTCACAGAGCGAATTAAACTTGTAAGTCAAGGCACCACTGTACCAGTCGGAGCATCTGCCCCCTGGTGGTCAGTGAACATCATAGCAACTGGTCGACTGTCTGCCCCTTGTGGTCAGTGCATGTCATAGCGAGCAGTTGAGCAGCCTTAGTGTATCATTAGCATATACGCATCATTAGCATATACGCTTTTATTGGTAGAACAGCTGACTGGTCGACCGGACACTTAGCATATTAGGCTTTTATTGTATAGGATATCTTTAGGGGGCTTCTGCTTTCTAGGATAGATTCTTACTCTGTATGTTGTGTATCTGATCTCTCAAACCTTCCATCTTGCAGAAATCTGTCATTATATATTAAACCCCTACTTCTTCATTAGCTTTAAAAAGAAGGCTTGCTTATAACTACCTTTTTTTTTTATGACATGTATTATATTAGATTACTCACCTGAGGGAAATCCTGTAGTATCTGTGTCTTTGTGACATGTCTGCTTTAGTGAAAAAGTATCATTAATTTTTCTCTTTGTGGTATCAGGTGATAATATCCCTTTATTTTTTAGCAGGATAGTATTGCATTACATGTACACAGTAAACTTCACTCATTCATTCATTCAACTATCCATGGACATTTGAGTTGTTTCCATCTAATGCAGGCTCTTATGAATAACATTGTAATGGACACAAATGTGTAAATGTCTCTTGCAGATCCTCCATGAATTTCTTTTGATATATACCTAGAAGTAGGACGGCGGCCAGCAGTATTTTATACTTTACAGCATACAAATTATGCACCTTCTGTATAAAATAAACGATTATTTCATTTCTCTTTAGGCTGTTATTCATGTAATTGCACACTTAATTTGTTATTTTGTACTAATTTCTGTTATGATACAGGAACACAGTTAACTGTGAGGGTTGGCTTTATATACCATGTTTAGAGAAATTCATTGGATTTATACATATTTTTAAAATGTGTAGTCCGTGATTTGCAATACACAATTCTGTCAGCTGTTAACAGAGATCATTTTATTTGATTATTTTCTAAGATTTTTTTTATTTTCTAGTTTTGTTGTGACCATGGGAGCTACTTAAAATATTTTTAGGCTATAACAATATACTTTAAACGAGGTATGCCACTTGCATACAAAACTGTGCTACTTGCCCTCTCTACACCTGTACCCACTTAAGTTATTGATATTACATTATCTTTTACATTGTGTCTTCTAGCAGAGATTTAAGATTTTACACCATTTATTTATTTATTTACTTACTTTTAAGATATTTTTTGAGAAATTATTTTTTCATATGCTTTTAGGATTATATTCTGGGATTCATATTTTCATTGTTGTTTTTTTAACCTGTTTTTTTTTAACCTGTTCTCATGTTTATATTCTATTCTACTTAGAATTTACTGAGCTGCTTGTATTTGAATGTCTTTCTCCAATTTTCATGACCTTCAACTGTTAATTTTTATATAAGCTGCCTAATCCTTTTCACTATGCTCTCTTTATGGATTCCTCTGGGAGGTTGATTTATTAGTGTCTTAGGAGTCCCTTCGGTTCTCTTCATATTTTCACATGCTTGTTAGCTTCCCTGAATCCAAATTTTTAATGAATTATATACAAATTCTTTGATTTTTGATTTTTTAAATCACGTTTATTGATTTCAGAGAGGAAAGGACAGGTAGAGACAGAACATCAATGAAGAGAGAGAATCCTCGATTCGCTGCCTCCTGCACGATTGGGGATTGAGCCTTCAACCAGGCCTGTGCCCCAACCTGGAAACAAACTGAGACGTCTGGGTTCATAGGTAGAAGCTCAATCATTGAGCCACCGCTACCAGGCTGATTCTTTGATTTTTCAGTTTGATAACATCTTCATTGATGATTCTACTATACTTTTTAATTTGGGTATTATGTTTCCTATTTCCCACTTCCGTGTGGTATTTGTAAAATTTTTTTTTCTCATTTTATTTTTATTTTGGTTATATAATATTTTGGTGATATTATATAGTTGTCTTATTTTCTACTTGTGGTTTTAAGATATTTATTTTTCTTCAGGTAATTAATATATTTCCATTAATGTATTGCCTGTTTGATTACAGTTATTTTGTGGTTCTGATGGGACACTTGCTGTTTCTTTGCATGACTCGATATCTTTTGTTCAGATTCAGGAATTGTAAACAAGCAGGCTTTTGAACATGCTTTATATAGGAAGAAATAAATAATAACCATCTGTGGAACAAATTCTTTTGTTCAACACTGTTTTCAGGATCTGTATTCTTGGTTTAGTTGTCTAATTTCCCAGTTGAAATGTTCTCTGTTTCTTTCTCAGACCCACGGTATCTTTTCAGGTTTCATATACATCATCAGTACCATAGTCTTTGTGGTGCTCCAACAATTTCTCATTGTTTCTTTGCAGCAGCCACTATAGGGCACTCACCATGTACTACCATTCTGTTCACACTCTGTCTCTTGCACAACAGACACTTGTTGTTCAAGATGCTTCAAAACAGGGATGTCGTGGAACACACACTTCCTCATCTCTCTCACGCTCCACTGAAGAACCTGAGAGGTGGGGGTGTTTTTATAATATTGCTATTGTGTGACAGGGTGTTTGAGCAGGTATCATTGGCTAATATAAGCAACTTTTTGTTCCTCTTTGATGGGACTTTTCCTCCTTGTATCTATGTTGAGCTTTCTTTGAATCCTTCACTGGTTCTTGGAGTACTCAAAAATGTCATTTGGCCTATACTTCCTGGTAATTTCAAAGTGCACTCATCTGATTTTCAAAACTAAAAATTACTTTTATTTCAGCTATGTCATGTGAAGATAACCAGGCCTTTTTGCTAAAGCCCAGAATTCAAAATTTATTCTCTGAAATTATACTGGTAAGATATAAAAGATGTGGTTTTGATAATGTACATTTAATGAAAGCCTTGGAATTTGAGGAAGAATGTGATGAGAAGAGGGGATGTTAATATACACCGAACTAATCTGGAACGGTTATTCATAATACAGTTCTTGTTAACTAAAGAGGTCAGATATATTATGCATTTGGGAAACCTCCCACTTTAAAGTCAGTTACATTGGCAGATCATTGTATTTCTGCATGTGATGGTTGAAAGCAACATTTTACTGTTATGTATCCTTAGAAAGGGAATCCGTGCTGTAAATAATTATTAGAATTGTTTAAAATGTAGGGTGGGATTAAACTTTGTCATTCATTTCTAAAATTTAGATATTTATAATGTTCCTCTAAAATTCAAATCTCAATTTGGCAATCTTTTGATTTTTAAAAATATGTATTTTTATTGATCTCATAGAGGAAGGGAGAGAAAAACATAACTAATGAGAGACAATCATTGATTGGCTGCCTCTTATATGCCACCTAGTCTGAATCCCGGGCATGTGACCTAAAGGGGAATTGAACCTGATCTCCCGTTTCATATGTGCATTGTCAAACAATGAGTCCCACCAGCTGGGCAATTTGGCAATCTTTTAAACAAGAATTCATTATTTTTGCTCAAACACTTTTATGTTTTATCTATAATTTCAATAAAGTGGGAATGCTTTTTTACACAATGCTTTTCCGTGGCTTAATGAGTATCATGAAATGGTTCTTATGCAACAAGTGTACATGTTTCTTGAACTTAACAACTGTCACTAAAGCCCTATCTCCCATCACCAGGAGAATGAATATAATGGAGACACAAGTTATCAACGAAACAAATATTGGAAAAACTGTAAGCAAGAATCATATCTTATTAATCAACAGACAATTGAACTCGCAGAGGACCATTTTAAGAGAGGAAAAGTCTAACGAAATGTCCAATCACCATATAGGTCAGTTTTTGCATATTGTGGAGAAGACACACAAAGAAAGTAGATTTGTCAAATCTTTTCAGGAATCTTCAAATTATACTAAAGAGAATATTCATGCTGGGGAACAGGATTACACGGGTAATCCAAGTGTTAGAATCTTCAGTGAAATATTAAATCTAAATAGACTGAAGAAAATCCATAATGGAGAAAAATATTATATATGTAAAAATTCTAATAAAACATCCAATTGGCCTTCAGGTTGTACTCTAAATGAAAGAATTCAAACTGGAGAGAAGCCTTACAAATGTAAAGCATGTGGCAAAGCCTTTAAATGTCATTTAACTCTTCTTGTACATGAGGGAAGAATTCATACTAGGGCAAAACATTATACACTCAGTGAAACTGGAAAATGCTTTAGTCAGTCCTCAAAACATACTGAACATCATAGAAATCCTAAGAAAGTAACATATTATAAATGTTCAGAATGTGGCAAAGCCTTAAGCCGACCATCAAAACTTATTCTTCATCAAAGAATTCACACTGGAGAGAAACATTACAAATATAGAGAATGTGGCAAATCCTTTAGTCATCCCTCCTCCCTTAATTGTCATCAGACTATTCATTCTGGAGAAAAGCCTTGTAAGTGTACAGAATGTGACAAAGCATTCAGTGATTCCTCATCCCTTACTCATCATCAGAGAATTCATACTGGAGAAAAGCCTTACAAATGTAGAGAATGTGGCAAAGCCTTTAGACAGCCCTCAAGTCTTAGTATTCATCAGAGAATTCACACTGGAGAGAAACCTTATAAATGTAGAGAATGTGGCAAAGCTTTCTCCGATTCCTCATCCCTTATCATCAGAGAATTCATACTGGAGAGACGCCTTATAAATGTTCAGAATGTGGCAAAGCCTTTAGCCGGCCCTTATCCCTTATTCGTCATCAGAGTATTCATACTGGAGAGAAGTCTTACAAATGTACAGAATGTGGTAAAACATTCAGTGAGTCTGCAGCCCTTAATTGACATCAGAGAGTTCATACTGCATAGAAGCCATATAAATATAGAGAATGTGACAAAGCCTTTAGCCGACCCTCAAAACTTAGTATTCATCAAAGAATTCACAATGGACATAAATCTTATATATGTAGAGAAAGTGACAAAACCTTTAGCAGTTCCTCAAACCTTACTGCACAACAGAGAATTTACACTGGAGAGAAGCCTCATAAATGTAGAGAATGTGGAAAAGCGTTCATCAGCCATAGAGATCTTACTACACATAACCGTATTTATACTGGAGAGAAGCCATACAAATGTCGAGAATGTGGCAAAGCTTTCTGCCAGTCTTCACACCTTACTAATCATCAGAGAGTTCATACTGGTGAGAAGCCTTTTAAATGTAGACAATGTGGCAAAGACTTTAGGCCAGGGCTGGGCAAACTTTTTGACTCGAGGGCCACAATGGGTTCTAAAACTGGACCGGAAGAGGCCGGCACAAAAGCATGGATGGAGTGTTTGTGTGAACTAATATAAATTCAAAGTAAACATCATTACATGAAAGGGTACGGTTTGTTTTTTTTTGTTTGTTTTTTTTTTGTTTTTAGTTTTATTCATTTCAAACGGCCGGATCTGGCCCACGGGCCATAGTTTGCCCACAGCTGCTTTAGGCAGTCCTCATCCCTTACTTGTAATCAGAGAGTTCATACCGGAGAGAAGCCTTATAAATGTACAGAATGTGGCAAAGCCTTTCGTGTTCTATCGTTCCTTACTTATCATCAAAGAGTTCACATTGGAGAGAAACCTTATAAATGTAGAGTATGTGGCAAATCCTTTAGCCAGTCCTCATCCCTTACTTGTCATAAAAAAGTTCATACTGGAGAGAAGCCTTATGAAGGTAGAGAATGTGGCAAAACCTTTAGCCAGTCCTCCTCCCTTGTTAATCATGAGAGAGTTCACACTGGAGAGAAACCATATGCCAGGTAAGTGTAGAGAAGGTGGCAAATCCTTTGGAAGCTCCTCAGGCCTTAGTAAGCATCCGAGTGTTCATTCTGGAGAGAATCCTTGTAAATGTAAAAAATATAACACAGCCTTTCATCAGTGTTCCTGCCTTTCTGTACAGCAGAGTTCATACTTGAGAGAAGACTTATAGATGTGAGGAGTGTCCTAAGTCCTTTACAAACAGAACTTACTGAACATCATAAATTTCATACTGGCAAGAAGCCTTACAAATGGGAAAAATGTAGAAAATGCTTTAACTGTACCTGATAGACTTCATACTAAAGAGAGTCCTTTCAAATGTTGAGCATGTGCAAGAGTCCGTACTCACAGCTCGAAATTTACCTAATAACATACTTTTATAGTGGAGGGAAGGGTTACACTGTAAAAAATGTGAGAAAGCCTTTAACCTGAGGTCTAACCTACTCAGCATTTTAGGAATCATTCGAAAGAGAGAAATAACATAAAGTTTTCATTCAAAGATTTGCCCATGGGTTATCATTGAGAATGATCAAATAAGGTCTGACAAATTATGAGGCATATGTCAAAGTGTATATCTTTATATGTCATACAACATCTGATAATTATTACTGGATCAAAGCCCAGCAAATATAAAGAATGTGACAAAGCTTACTCCATATGCAAACCTTACCCAACAGCAGAATTCATACTGGGGAGAAACAATACAAATATAAACAATGTCCTAAGTTCTTTAATCAGCATCTGAAGCTTATTTCTCACATTGGAATTCACTGTAGTGAGAAACCTTAACACTGAAGAATGTGGGAAAATATATAGTTGTTCCTATAATTTCAGTTAATATTAGGGATTGTAATTGGGTAGAAATTCTACATTCATGATACAGGAGAGAGGACTTTTGTTCAAAATATACAGTTCACAAAATTCCAAGGAATTTATGCCTAAAAGTGACTTTATTATTTTTTTTTTAATATATTTTATTGACTTTTTACAGAGAGGAAAGGAGAGAGATAGAGAGTTAGAAACATCGATGAGAGAGAAACATCGACCAGCTGCCTCCTGCATATCCCCCACTGGGGAAGTGCGCACAACCCAGGTACATGCCCTTGACCGGAATCGAACCTGGGACCTTTCAGTCCGCAGGCCAACGCTCTATCCACTGAGCCAAACCGGTTTCGGCCTAAAAGTGACTTTAAAAAGTAAAAACTTGACCCAAGTATATAATTGATTAAGAATTTTAAAGTATCACTGAATTCACACTAGATAGGTAGCAAAAATGCCTTTCAGGTATTGCTCTAAATCAGAAAGTTTATTATGCAGTGTACTCCATTCTTTAAATATAGTTGGGTAATATATCTATACTTAAATATATCAAAAGAATTTATGTTTCCATATGTACAATTTCTTTCTTTTTTTTTCACAAAATTAAATTTTATTTTTATTACAAAGGGTATTACATATGTGTCCATTTTTCCCCCCCGCCCTAGACAGTCCCCTAGCCTCCCCTATTCCCCAGTGTCTTATGTCCATTGGTTATGCTTATATGCATGCATACAAGTCCTTTGGTTGATCTCTGTACAATTTCTTAGAGTGTTACTATTTTATCCTGAAATCATTTGAGGTACTTTGAAAAAGAAATATTAGGTGATTCTGTTCCCATATTACTTGATGCTGCTATGTGTTGAGTGAAATCATGGGGTTGATTGTTTCTGCCTTAGAGATCTGTGAACTGTTGTATATTATATGGACTTCACTTATACACATTTTTCCGTGGAATATTGGATTCATTGTAATGTGCACATTTTTTCTATTAGAGAATTACACTATTGAATGGATCTTTTAAAATCATTTTTGAGTGTTATTTTTTTAATTGTTTTATTGCTTCAAGTATTACAAAGGTTATTACATATGTCTCTTTTTTTCCCCGCCCTTGACAATCCCGTGGCCTCCCCTAACCCCTAGTGTCTTATGTCCATTGGTTATGCTTATATGCATGCATACAAGTTCTTCGGTTGATCTCTTACCCTCCCCTCTTGTCCCCCAACCCTCCCCGGCCTTCCCACTGTAGTTTGACAGTCTGTTCAAGGCTGCTCTGCCTCTGTATCTACTTTTGTTCATAAGTTTGTAATGGTCTTTATTACCCATAAATGAGTGAGATCATGTGGTATTTTTCCTTCATTGACTGGCTTATTTCACTTAGCATAATGCTCTCCAGTTCCATCCATGCTGTTGCAAATGGTAAGAATTCCTTCTTTTTTACAGCAGCATAGTATTCCATCGTGTAGATGTACTACAGTTTTCTAATCCATTCATCTACTGATGGGCACTTAGGCTGTTTCCAGATCTTAGCTATGGTGAATTGTGCTGCTATGAACATAGGGGTGCATATATCCTTTCTGATTGGTGTTTCTGTTTTCTTGGGCTATATTCCTAGTAGTTCTTAAGTTTTATAAATGTATCATCAAAGTTACTTCCTATTCTGTGCCAACTTGTTCAGAGGAAAACTTTATGGGGCTTTGCTACACGCCTGAGTGAGTGGTAGCCCTCTGCTTCTCTAAATTTAATCCTGCACTCCAAGCTCATCTCAGCGTCACCATTCACAAAGAACATCAATACTCCAGGACTCTAGTAATAAGAACTCAACCTTATGGACCGTCCTGTGTTGCTTAGTGTGTGAGCATTGATCTATGAACCAGAGGTCAGATTAGATTCCTGGTCAGGGCATATGCCGGGGTTTCCCCATCAGTCCCCAGTAGGGGGCATGCAGGACTCAGTGGAACATTGATTCTCTCTCATCATTGATGTTTCTTTATCCCTACTTCTCTAAAATCAATAAAATGTTCAAAAGACAAATGTAGTTTCTCTTTCTTTAAAATGCTTATCCAAGGATATTATTTTCATTGATCTTAGAGAGAGTGGGAGGGATAGTGGGTAGAAAGAGGAACATTGATATGAGAGAGACACACCAATAGGTTGCCTCCCTCAGACACACAGGCAGGGTGGAGACCAAACCTTCCACCCAGGCACCAGACCTGACTGGGAATCAAATCTTTGACCTTCTGGTGGGAGGGATGACATTCTAACCCACTGAGCCACATCTGCTGAGCTGTAGATTCTCTTTGAAGGGACATATAATAAATTTGAAGTTACATTTATATGAGATATGACTGACAAATATATCACCATGTAAGGAAGTTTATCTCAAAGGTATCTAACACCCTGTCCCATTGGTCTGCACGTAGTGCCCTCCACCAAAATGTTGCAAATTTGATTCCTGGTCTGGCAAGTGCTCCTCAGGACGCTTTCTGGAGCACCAATGGATGGTTGTCTTGCACATGGATGTTTTTCTCCATCTCTGCCTTCCTCTCTAAATTCACTTAAAAAAAAACACTTTAAAAATATCTTCAGCCGGGCCGGAGCCAGTTTGGCTCAGTGGATAGAGCGTCGGCCTGCGAACTGAGAGGTCCCAGGTTCGATTCCGGTCAAGGGCATGTACCTGGGTTGCGGGCACATCCCCAGGAGGGGC